AAGGGGTCAGAATCCGCTACTGGACATTTAGAAGGATTGAAGTGGGAGGTTTTGGTTGTAAATGAGCCTGTTGTTAATGCATTCTGTTTGCCTGGTGGCAAGATTGTAGTCTTCACAGGGTTGCTCGAACATTTTAGGACAGATGCTGAAATTGCAACCATAATTGGGCATGAGGTATTTGTGCCATTTTGTTGAGCGCATTGTATATATTTAGTTACATTTCTGCTTTTGTTTTAGTTTGGTCCTATTCACGCCTTTGCTTCGATGCTTTGATAGGTTGGGCATGCCGTGGCTCGCCATGCTGCTGAGGGAATTACGAAAAACTTGTGGTTTGCGATCATTCAAATGATTCTTTATCAATTTGTTATGCCTGATGTTGTTAACACCATGTCAGCCCTGTTCCTAAGGCTTCCATTCTCACGCAGGTATGTATATCACCTTTTATTGTCTGGATTTTTAGTTTCTCTTGCTTGTGTGTTTTATACAATATCTTTCTCTTTTAGGATTTAGTTAACATTACTGTGTATTATCGCACAATTCTCACGGTTATTCAATTACATTAAGTTTATAAATAGTCATAGAAATGTAACATCACATACACGTTCAATACGTTGCCAAGAAGCAGGAACTACTCTCCTGAAATACGCGCATCATAGATTATGTCATTCAAGTAAGCTCACTTTTTTGTGTTTTAGCAGTTTTGTTTACGTGAAATATTTGTTAATGCTGATTCGGTTATTTGCAACATGTAGGCATAGAGCTTGAGCCTCTTTGTATAAGCTTGATCCCCCCCCCCCCCCCCCCCCCCCCCCCTCTCCCCCCTTTTCTTTTGTACATATATACACACACACACACACCAAGGCATGTCTTAGTGTCCCTTGTCCTTTTCATATGCATCCTCCAAACCTCATGTTAAAAAAAAACATATCTATACAATAAAATTATTATTCTCACTATCTAACTACATTATATTTCGCGTTCCCACTGCACACACATGGGCCCTTCTAAGCGGTTGTCCCTTCATGTTAGACGCATACATAATAGTACAACAGAATAGGAGACATTGAAATCGTTGGTAGTTAGGAACGCAATGTTTTATCCAATAGTGTCGTTGCTTCTATACAAAGTTAATAAAGCTTGTACAGCAACCAAAGAAAAAGAGAGAGACGCGAGACTTGCTTCTGCCCCTTTGGACCAGCAGAACAGGGTGTGTGGGAATTCGATAATCTAACTCTGGCTCAGTGTGGGAAGCAATTATTAGGTTTTTGTTTCGGAAGGTATTCGAGAAAAGTAGAGCAAGTTGTTAATGTAGACGACTTGGTTTTCAGGGCTTGTAAGGATGCTCATCTACATGCTTTCTGCAATGAATGGTAGGAGTGAAAGAGGGGATCTCCCTTGAGTGCTTTATGTGAGGGTTCTATTGATTTTATCCATGTTAACATGATAATGGCTGGCAGGGCGCAATTGAGTGCACATTGCATTCATCTTCTGATGTTGTTGGTTACTCCTTCCTAGAGATGCTTTCGCCTTTTCTCTCTTTTACCCATTTCATTCTTTGATTCAACCCTGATTCATCTCTTTTTTTTACGGTTCAGCGGTATAAGTTCATCAATTTCATTAACGAGTGAGTTTGTCTGAAACATAGAGAAGTCATTCCAAGAAAAAAAGAGAGGATATTTGATGAGCATCAGCTATGTAGCAGGCGCCGATACGAGTATGATATGAAAATCGAGATATGGGGGGCTATGTATAAATGTTTGGTTATATGCTGTATTTCCCTTTTTCCTTAAGATGTTGAAAGTCTAAAGCATGTTGTAAAAAACATTAGTAACAATGAAAAACAAAAGCCATAAGACATGTTCCGTCAATTCCTCTGATTTTGACAGTACAAAAATGTGAATTTAAGTCAAATTACCATCTCAATAGATATTTATTATCCGAAAGCATCTCAATATTAACCGGAAAAATGGGGATACAAACTACAGATGATTGTTTGGAGTAAAGATGATGAAGCAATGTCCTTAACTAAAAAGGATAAATTGCAACCAGTTCTTTACAAAGCAAATTTGGCAATTCCATGTTGACAAATATTCCCTTTTTTATTCATAACAAGGCAATCCAAAGTTCCAATCTACCAGAAATCTAAAGGGTCTTCAACCAGAAGACACGAACTCCTAGCAGCCCTTCAAAATTTACCCAAGAAGTATTGGCTTAAATTGAGTCCTGATTTTCTTATTTGAATTAACCCGCCCTGTTTCCTCTTCTAAGAATTGCAGGGTGACCTGAAATTTGGCCACTGAATACCAATTTTATTTGAATCTTAAAATCAGGATGCTCTATCCAGAAATCAACAACAACAACAACCCAGTGGAATCCCACAAGTGGGGTTTGGGGAGGGTAGTGTGTATGCAGGCAGAGGTTACCCCTGCCCTGGAAAGGTACGAAGGTTGTTTCTGTTAGACCCTCGGCTCGCTTTATCTAGAAATGAAACAAGAAATACCTCATCCCAGTAATGGATTATCCCTGGTACAGTGTGCATTAAAAATTAATACATGTGTCTCCATATGATGTCTTTCAATTAGTGAGCCTTTCGGATGACAAATAGTATAATTTTGAGAAAAGGGAACCTAAATTTTCTAATTTTAGGGGGGCTAACCTTAGGGGTGTTTATTTGGTTAGTGAATCTAAGGCGGCTCTCAGGAATCTATTACAGGAAATTCAACGTGCCAAAAGTGAGAGCCCNGGGAGGGGGCAAGTATGACTCGTTAGAAAGTACTCACAATGTGGATCTTTGCCCGCCTACTCAAGCGGGACAGGTTTGAGATGTTATCCTCTTAAACTCTAGTACTTTTGATCTAAGTGGTGCCAATAGGTAATGTAGTCCATGTGAACAGAAAGCTATAATATGTGACCAGCTTATGTTTCTTACAACTTGGTGCTACTTTCTGATTTTTTTATATGTGCATTGAAAGCATACCCTAGTCTCCTCATTTGTGACATCAGTTTAGTTGTTGACTCCAGGTGACACCAATTTTTCTGTTTTTGACAGTCCATCTGGCCACTTGGGTAATTTTATTGATCACGTTGTGAGCGGTGAAAGAAACTATGTTAATGTGAGCGGTGAAAGAAACTATGTTAAAAATGATTGATTAATAGGTGCCAAGCTTCTGTCTCCAGAGGGATTAGAAACCTCAACATTCAAAATGAATGGGAGCGGCAATATCTGTCGTGTAACTCACCTTCCCCTCCCACAGGTCCCACATAAAAAAATTGAATAAAAATGGGGAGGAAGTCACTGATTCCAGATGCTCAAATGTTTATATTTGTGCCTGTTGTGTGGTATATTTTATTAAATCTATTGGTTTAATAAGCTTTTTCTTCTATTAATCTGTTTATAACTTTTTGTGACCAATGTTTGTAATCAATATGCATCCATAGTTTTACTGTGATCCCGGAGTTCATAATTTTAATGAGATATGCAACACTAAGTACATGTAGGTTTATTCTTGTTCTGGGTTTGTTGGTTAAAATCTAGAGTAATTGCTCGATGATCTTGTTCCAGTTGAGGAGGTTGGTGATATTACCAATCACTGATCATTGAGAGATTGGAACCAAAACTCTTGGCTTCAAACCTTATTGGCATCACCTACTTGTTATATGGGTTATTGTTAAATTCTGTTGAGGCTCACTGTTAATATCTCAAATATTTCATCTGTGCGTGCTTCACGCGTCTTCTAGCTCATGGTGCTAGATAGGATGAACATTTGCCGGGTGTAATTCCTGTTGCGTAGACTTGTCATGCATTTATGTGTTACCAGGATGGAGATGGAAGCAGATTACATAGGGCTGTTGTTGATGGCTTCTGCTGGATATAACCCTCGAATTGCTCCATCAGTCTATGAGAAGCTGGGCAAGATCTCTGGTGAATCAGCCTTGAGAGATTATCTGTCAACTCATCCTTCTGGGAAGAAGAGAGCACAATTGTTGGCTCAGGCTAAAGTAATGGATGAAGCCCTTTCGATATACAGGGAAGTACAGGCAGGAAAGGGGATTGAGGGTTTCCTATGAAGGATACAAGTGCATACGCCATGTGAATAAGCGAAGGTTGATTTTTGTCTTTTACAAAAATTGTGGTTTTTGGACAACTCCAATTTCCTTTGGTCAGTGCACAAGTTGATTCTTCTCAAATGCTATTCCCAATGTGTAATATTAGTGGATAGGTGTTTCTTTTGAAGAATAAAAAGATAGCACATAGCTCCCAGTTATGGTGCTGGAGGTAGGTAAGCCCTTCTCGATCAGTCATCGGAAGCAGCTGCCAAAGAGAAATGGCATCTTCTTTGCAAGATGAAAAAACTTACAGCTTTGTGAAGACATACACTTCAAATAAGCTTTGTGAACTCAAGACAGGGTATCTCCAAGTCCTGTGCCGTCAAGTTTCTAAGAAATCGAGGAATGCAGTTTGTAATGCAACTTCCCGTCATTTCAAGTAAAAGTTTGTTGTTTATCAGCTACCAATCTTTTCAGGTAGTCGTCATCCGATTAGCTTTCCTATAGCAATATGTATGTATAAGGCAATTTTCTATCTTCTCCAAGAATTTTTGAATTTCATTCGCAATGTGTAACATATGGCCCGCCATGGTACTTTTGTGAATCACCTTTTTTTGAAGAAAGAATAGATTCACTATTTATGATAAACACTCCTTGTCTTCCAAATTTCCAAGCAAACAAATGTGGGCATCCTTCTGATTTTCTTCCAGAATTTGGCAGAACTTGGGCATTTAGCAAACTTTAGCAAGAAAGAATGATTGATTGCTTGAATGCCGGGCCGTCTACTTGGAGATTGCCATCCGACCTTTCCCCTCTTGGGAAACTGACTAATCAAAAGGGGCACTTAATTTGTTAATTATTTAGTACTATATTTTGATGGTCATATTTAAAAATTAAAGAACAAATGGTAGGAGAATGAGTAAATGAGTGTTGGTTCAATTAATTTATTTCAGGAATGAAATCACAAGTGAAACACAGTAAGCAAACCACCGTTACAATTCTCAAATCTATTTATTATTCTCCCATTGAAATTCTAAATCGTGAAGCTGCAATGTCGAAGCCTACTTATAAAACATACTCCAGCGACAAAGAATATGCCAGCAGAAGCAGATTAACGTCAGAAAAGCCCAACAGTGTGTTGGCTTAAAATTAACTGTTCCCAATCTAATTATTGCCTTCTGTTTTTAAACTCTGAACAAGATATTGAGATTGTCAAACGTTGGAGCTACGAAAATAATGATGGAGCTCCAACGGTTAAATTTGAAGAACAAACTGACATGCCTGCTTGAGAATTGCAAGAGCTTGAGAGAGCTGAAGCAGATACATGCCCACATCACAACACCCCCTCACCTCTTTACAACTGACCGTTGCTTCCTAATCTCTCGCCTTATTTTCTTCTGCACAGTTTCTCAATCAGGGTCCCTCACCTATGCCAACGCCGTATTCAGATTCGTCCCTCGCAAAACTCTCTTCATTTACAACTCCATGATCAGAGCTTACGCTTCAAGAATCCTTGACCCCACTTCATTTCAGCCCTTAATTTTATACAAACAAATGCTCTTTGATGATATTACACCTGACTGTATTACATTTCCCTTCGTGTTAAAACATTGCGTGAACAGAGTTGATGAATTCGTCGGACGAAGTGTTCATGCCCACGTTGTTAAGTTTGGGTTTCTTAGTGATGTTTTTGTGCAGAATTCTTTGATAAGTTTGTATTCACAATGCGGGTCAGTGGGAATTGCAAGGAAGGTATTTGATGAAATGTCAAATCGGGATATTGTTTCGTGGAATTCTATGGTTATTGGGTGTCTGCGAAACGGAGAGTTGGATATGGCCTTAGAGTTGTTTAGGAGGATGAAGAAGAGGAATATTATTACTTGGAATTCAATTATCACGGGGTTTGTACAAGGAGGGAGGCCAAAAGAAGCTTTAGAATTCTTCTATGAAATGCAAATTTCAGGTGATGATATGGTTAGTCCAGATAAAATGACAATTGCTAGTGTAATCTCAGCTTGTGCTTCTCTTGGAGCAGTTGATCAAGGTAAGTGGGTGCATGATTACTTGAACAGGAGTGGAATGGAGTGTGATATGGTGATTGCCACAGCATTAGTAGACATGTATGGCAAATGTGGGAGTGTTTCTCGAGCACTTGATGTTTTCAAGGCAATGAAAAATAAGGATGTTTTGGCATGGACAGCTATGGTTTCTGCTTTTGCTCTTAATGGGAATGGCAGGGAAGCTTTCGAGCTTTTGTTGGACATGGAAGAGGCTGGAGTGAGGCCTAATGCTGTAACTTTTACTGCTTTGTTGTCTGCTTGTGCGCATTCTGGCATTATAGAGATAGGGCGAAGGTGTTTTGATGTGATGAGGCATGCTTATCACATAGAGCCACAAATTCAACACTATGCTTGCATGGTTGATATTCTTGGTCGAGCTGGTCTCTTTGATGAGGCAGAAGGGCTAATCAGAAGTATGCCAATGGAGCCAGATGTTTTCGTTTGGGGTGCACTACTTGGTGGCTGCCAAATGCACCGAAATTTTCAGTTAGGAGAAAAGGTTGCTCGGCATTTGATTTCTTTGGAGCCTCTGAACCATGCTTTTTATGTTAATCTTTGCGATATATATGCCAAAGCTGGTAGGTTTGACCATGTTAAGGAGATTAGAGCCCTTATGAAGGAGAAAGGGATTGAGAAGACAGTTCCTGGATGCAGCATGATTGAAGTTGATGGAGTTGTCCACGAATTTTCTGTAAGAGATTCACCTCAAGTTTTGATGACAGAAATAAAGCATGTATTAACTAGTTTGAGTGATGAGATGGGAAGGAGAGTTAATATGATCCCTTCTCTGGAATGATGAGGAGATAATTTTATTAACATGTGAAAATACTTACTGGTTTTTCAACAATATGTCCTCAGAGCATGGTATTCCATCTGAAGACATTAGCAGTCGCACTTTGGCTATCCCACACTTATGGTTCATCCCGTGGAGGCTTGATGACCTTTGCATTGATATTGCTTGTCTGGTTTTACAGTCAACGCCAGTCAGTATCACCATATCAGAAGATTTTTTTTTGGCTCGTACCACTGTATCCTTGATGACCAAACTGGCTAGGGATCTTGCAGCCTGCTTTGGCTTCTAAGTATTTCATGCCCCAAAATGAAGAAAGAAAAGGTATTCTTTGTCTTGCATGTGATTTTTGTTGGTTATCATTGTGAGAATTAATCTACATCTTGTAACAAAACTAGGATATAAAACAGAAAAACAATCTTGAGTTTGGATTTAAAAAATACAGTTCCAACTTCAAAATGTTGGAACCATTTTCACACTTCAATTTTATCCATCAAGAAAAGGGAGATTTTTAAGGGGTAGTCCTCGAAAACTTGAGGCGTAGTTAATTGGTAATTGATGGTCCAAGAATTTTTGAAACTAGCTAATCAATTGCATCTATTACAAGTCTCTCAGTCTGATTATGGACCAAATTCCATCTTTTAATTCAGCTGTATCCCTTTGTTTGGAGTATGGTGCACGGGAATTCATGCATATGGATGACCAAAGTGTTCAATCTCTTCTGAACATTAAATCAGAGGCTAGCATATCTTTGAGTGAGTGTGTTGAAGAACCAGCATGAGCCACATATTAAGCAGAAGGCTAGAGAGTTCTGGCTTAGAACCTTAATCACCAGAAAGCAAAGAAGGGACTTGTGTATGAAAGTCTAATGATACCAGAATTATCCATATTGACCGCCTTAATTCTAGTGAGCCTAATTTGAATGGTAGGGGTGGTGATGGAAGTGTTGTTGGCCTAACACCAGGTTCTTAAGCAACCTTATGTCTGCCCATGAAGGGTGTTCAGCTTCAATGCTACCACTTCTCAACTATTTGTGAAACCATGTATGCAGGTCCTGTAATTTTACTTACAAGTGTGTGTCTGTCGTCTGAATTTCATTTCTTGGCTCTTAGTCTCTTCTGTTTCAGTCCTTTTTCTATTCTTGTCATATTGATTTGGCCTCAAATATCCTACTTGTCTATTGTGCATGAGGTTGGCACAGACAAGAACACGTTTTTGGATAAATTACTCGTTCCTGTTCTATAATTTCTTTTTTACGTGCTTGGATATTACAACATTCTTTAATAGGGGACAACAAATTTGGTAAGTATGTCTCATTTTCAGACATTATATATATGGGCAGGCAGCTTAACATCTCATTCCCACTGAAAAAAAGGAGCTCTTTATCCATGGACGTTCCATCTATTCCTGCTACTCTCACAGTAACAACAGCATTGGCTGTTATCTTAGCAGCATGTTTGTTCAAACATATCTTCAATGGGTCAGCAAACAAAGGAAAGTACCATCCTGTTGCTGGAACAGTCATCAACCAATTGCTGAATTTCAACAGGCTGCATCATTACATGGCAGAACTGGCAAGCAAATACAAGACCTATAGGTTGCTTTATCTTTTCCGAAGTGAGGTTTACACCTCAGACCCTGCTGTGGAGTATATTCTGAAAACCAATTTCCCCAACTATGGCAAGGTAAACATGTTATGCTCACCCCACCCAAAATCTTCCTCTTTCTGCCCTTAAGATCATTTTTGAGTCAAGCATAAAAGATTTGCATTTCATTTCTGGAGGTTATGAGAGAAGTGTAATGCTACATCCTTTTGATGCACCTTAGTAAATGAATCACCTGTTGTCTCTAGTTCCCTTCCTTGTTAATTTCACAAAAAAAAAAGAAGTTTTTAAGGATTTATTGTGAGAACAAATCACTAGAACTCACTGCAAATATCTCGAGAAGTTCCCTTTGAAACGTCGAAAACTAGTAAACCTTTCTAGTTTCTGAATTTCAATCTGCTGCAGAATTGCCCTATTGGATCACAGATCATGAAAATGAAATCACAGTTAAAGTGTGCTTGATATACTTGATATTAAGAAAACACAAAATTCTCTAGTACGTACTGAAGGATTGCGTATAGGTGTTCGTAACACGCAGCGGAAGACAATAACAATCCTAGGCAGATCTTTTCATGTTTAAAATTTATTTACATATCAATAGATCGGATCTAAGACGTACCTGGTGAAGAAAGTCTTGTTTCAAATTCTTCGATAGTGCGAAGACTCTATGTGTATCCACACCGAGACTGATCCTTGCTATCAACTCTTTGATCGATGAAACCCGCGAACAAATTGAACAAAATATTGTGTTGAAATTTTTCTCAAAAATCTCAACTCAAATTAGAAGAACAAGAAACACTTTTCTTGCAATTGTATTTTCTCTCTTGGCTTTGTATTGCACTCTCACTTTCACAAAGTGGGTTTTCTTCTCATGGAAAAATTATTCGGCAAATTTTCTCCATCACCCTTTATATAGCATCACCTACAAACTCTTTTCCTATTTGGTTGAGGTAATGATTTACTTAGGGTAAAAGTTTTTTCCAAAATAAACTTTATGGGATTTTGTATGAAAATTCGCAATCCCATTCTCAACGGGTAACGTGACTGCCGAGAATCATGGACTTTCCATGAAGTCCAATTCCAAACATTGGAATTTTCCTATTGTAAACAAGAAAGCACGTTTGAGTTGTCAGACGTCCTTTTTATGGACTTTAATTTCCATGTTTAATGAAATCGTAGGAAAACCTTTATGGAATTTCATGTCCAATTCAAAATTGGATTGTAAGAATAAATTAATATTAAATATATAACCTTTANGTGTTGAAATTTTTCTCAAAAATCTCAACTCAAATTAGAAGAACAAGAAACACTTTTCTTGCAATTGTATTTTCTCTCTTGGCTTTGTATTGCACTCTCACTTTCACAAAGTGGGTTTTCTTCTCATGGAAAAATTATTCGGCAAATTTTCTCCATCACCCTTTATATAGCATCACCTACAAACTTTTTTCCTATTTGGTTGAGGTAATAATTTACTTAGGGTAAACGTTTTTTCCAAAATAAACTTTATGGGATTTTGTATGAAAATTCGCA